ATCGCTCTCACTGCGTGAATTGAAAAACTCCGATGATGACGATTTGTATTTTTCCCGGTTTTGGAACAAAATGCGAGCTTCTGAAGGATGTTCAGAGTCTGAATAGAAGATGCCCTCTTTCAAATTAACTCGCTCGGGTGCCAAATCTTTTGGACCGTCTGTAACTTCGACAGTTGCATTAGAACGTGCAGTATATTGATTTGATTCCTCCACTGTTTCAAACAAAGGAGCGGCAAGGGCTTTATCGGGCTTTGATTGCTCTACGCTTGAGTTAGCTGCGGATTCCAAGAAGGTTTTTAGTTGTTCAGTGCTAAGAAATCAGTATAGATACCTTCAGCTAATAACACTTGATCTAGATTTAAAATTGGATCTCCCAAAGACTGGGATATTTCGGCCAACGAGACCTCTTGGGCCTTCGTACGAGAATGAGAAGACTTGGGATCTATTAGGAGTTGAATGAATGGTTGAATGGTTGTGTTTTCAGTTTTCTAAAACTCTTGACTTTACCAGACTTCTCTAACGATTTGAATGACGGCGTAGCTTTAGCAGATATCTGCGTCTTCGATTCCTTGAGAATCGAGGAATTGGCTGGAAAACCCCAGAATTGTTTTAGTTGTCGATTACTAGAACCCACAGAAATACCTTCATTCTCCTTGGAATATTCGAAAGTTTCAACTGTTGCCATTTGGCTCGATTTAGTATTGATCTCCGTGGTTAAAGGGATTTCTTGCGCATCCCCATGCAGCTTGGTCTCTTCTTTCTGTTTAGAAAGTGCATTTATATCGACATATTTAGAAGTGGACTTGAATTCGTCCGGTTCACGAGCCTGAGAGGGCGTGGCATCGGTTGGGATTCCAAGAAGCGTTTTAAGCTTATTTTCTGGAACCTTAGAAGGTTCCTTAATCATTGATTTGTCGACACTCGAGTTCGCTAAAAATTTCGAAATGGGCTTAACTGTTGAGCTGTAATAGTTATCTAGAAATACCTTTAGTTGTTGCAACCAAGTGTGGATTTTCGGGACTAGCGGTTTCCGGTACATCCGTACGCAGCTTGGTCTCTTCTTTCTTTTCAGAAGGTGCATTAGAACCAACGAACTTCAAAATTGGCTTTAAGCCTGCTGGGATTTTAGGAAGGGATTAGCTTTTTGGTTTTCTGTGCCTTATGCAGTGCTTTGCAATTTACCAGACTCCTCTTTCAATCTGTATGAAGTAGGTTTCTTGATTTTCGACGTCTCGAGACTTGATTTTGCTAAAACAAAAAATGCAGGCGGTTTTGTTAATTTATACGCATGATATCCATATACTTATATGCACCTTTTTCCTTATGGACCAATGCAATAGCGTCAGAGACTGCCTTTGTTTTGTCTTGAGACGATGTGGGATCTGGTTCTGTCTGCTTTGCGATTTTCTTGCTATCGCCATCAAGTGGGCCTTTATCAATTAAGGTAAGACGATCGAATTGGTTCACCAGTAGCGAGACAGGCGTTAAACACGTCTCTTTAGCTACTTTGCCTTGAACAGTCGAGTCTAGTTCCGTCAAATGCTCGGACCTGCCACTTGGACCTTCATCCAGAGATGAGTCGCTCAATACTGAGGAAGGAGAAGAAGCACGACTTGCGCTTACTTCTGGAGTTAAGACCATTTCCCTTTTCGCGCTTAGATGCTCAATCTGGGTGTCTGGTTTTAGATTCTCTTCCTTTGGAGATCGCATCTTAAGAACCGTACCCAGCAGCTTAATCTGTTGCGGACTTAGGTTCTTAAGCATTGTCGGAGGTGGTCCTATTTTGGTGCGAACATTGCAAAAGGCCGCATCCTCATTCACTTTGGACTTAGGCTGAAGTTTCTGCAAGAGTTGAAGTGCCTTCTCGTTCTCGTCGACAGCACCTTCGATTGGGGGCTCCTCTTCAGCGGATGGTCCTGCGGTGGCGGCAGATTTCTCTGTTGATGCCTTCCTTTTCTTGTCAGGGGTGGGAATGCCCGTTTTCTTACCTGGCTGGCGAGAGGCTCGCTCAGCTACGGTTGATGTTATCGGCCCCTTCTTCTTTTGTGCTGAAGAACTCTCAATTTTTTGAGATGCCTTCTGAATAGCAACCGATTGAGTCGGTTTTTGTTTCGCTACCAACTTTTGCCCAGGATGTTTAACGGGCCGCTTGACTGGCGGCGACTTAACCAGATCGGACTTCGACTTTCGCAGCAGAGCCTCACTCTGCGGTGCAGTAGACTCCGACTCCATAATCAAACTGTATGCCCTAGCGAAGGTGGGTTTCCTACTTATAGGCGGACCACGACCAATTGGCATATTGTCTCGGGCAGCTAAGGCATCGTATTCTTCAGGTTTGAGCGATTGATTGGCTTCGTAAAACTTTATTAGCCATTGCAGGAATTGCAAATTGTCTAGGAAACGTCCTTTGCAAAGCTTCTCAATCGGTATCTGTTTGTCGACTCCAGCCTTCTGGAAAGCCGACTGAAGTATCTTGAAATTTTGAATATATTCGTGCTCTATGTTGGTCATGAACTTGACGCGCCTTAAATTAATCGCCTGCGGACACAGCGAGTGGAAGATTTGGCAGTACGCGGCGCCCGTACAAAAATCGTCAACTCTACGGATACTGCTCCGAATCAGACGATTTACCCATTCCAAAATCTCATGCCGCGATTTGTCCGGCGTCGTATTACTAGTACAATACACGTTCTTCAACATATTGCGATACTATTTCAAGCTTTTTTAAGCTTCTTGAAACTCCTTCAAGCTGTTTCAAATTTCTCGAGACTTTTTTAAACTTCTTTAAACTTTTGGAAACTTTTTTCAAATTATTCACTTTTTTACTTTTTGGAGAAAAAAAAGAAAATATTCACAAATATATTTCAACACGTCCGTAGTCGATGAGAACAAATAAGTGAATGACTATATTAATGCCTCGAAGTGAGAACGTCAATTCAATGCCACCTATGTTTAACACTTAAAATATATCTAAAATTTTTCATGAGCACTTTTGAGCACTTAGGTGCTCGTCGTTATCACAGAGTTCAGCATTTCACAGCACTGCTGCATTTCAGCAGTGCATTCCTCATCCCTTTATGGAGTGCAGAAATAAAAGTAAATCCAAAGTAGTTCGGCCCCAAAGGAGCTCAATGTACGGCAGTAACCCCACAAGAAGCAGCAGCATAGCAGCACTTCAGCGTCCTTCCCACCACACCCCCCATCTCCCTCCTGCGCTCAATGAGCGCACAAAGTGCAGGTGCAGTACCTCGCAATGTGGCCTATAATAGGGGCATATGGATAGTGGCAGGAGGCGCAAAAATCAAAGAGCTGTACAGGACGAAAGGAACAGGCACTCGCAGAAAATAAAGGAGAAACGTTTTTCGTTTTTCGATAATGCTTCGATTAGGAAAAGCGGTATATGACTTCCACATATATATGTATTACCTTTCTAAAGTGATAATATTAAACTGGTGATATTGTTGTAAGTAGTATTAGTGTTAAGATGCTCTCTTCTCATGCAATTGCATTTTAGTATTAAAGGTAACACTAGAGGGTTACACTAATGTAAAACCTAGAATAAGGAAAGAAGAATAAACCGTCCTACAGTGAGAGCCAAACCAATCAGTTGTACCAAACAGTCGCCTCCAAGCTAGACTTTTATTAATGTTGGTATTGTTAATTATTGCTCTAATTGGAACCCCCAGCTATGGCTTAATAAAAACACTCTTAGTCCAACTGACTCATGTCATCATTTGTAAGGAACTTCTTACACTTACGAGTTCTTGAAAAATAGTAATAATATTAAAATCTTGCCTACAATAGTGGCATTTGCTTTGTTCTAAAATTTGGTTGTCTGTGTAAAGATCTGGTCAGACATACAAACTACAATTTGCAAAATCCACAAGTATGTCATAGTGTTTTTTTTTTTACTTTTAAATAAATCTCAGTTATTATAGAAGAGTAGGACCTTTCTTGGTATGTTAACAAAATAATTTATATAAAAAAAGATTTGTCCTGGCTGCCTGATCAACTCACAGCCCAAATGGTAAGAGCTAGGAAGCTGAAATCTTGACATAAGTTTTCGTGCACAGTGCAGGTGAGAAGCTGTTGGACAATTTAATCTCGAAAACGGTGAAAGGAACTCTAACAGTTAGCAGCACTCGATACATCGATTGGATGCATCGAGGCACATTAACATCAATGTTTACTTTCGAGCTTTATGGAATGAAAGCAATTTCACCTTAATTACAACAGTTGTGCTGTTTTTTTGTTTTCGTCACTCCTTTGGAATCCACGTCGGAAATAGATTTTGTGAATGGTATATAGTACAGATCTAGTAGTTGAAGTTTAGCTTTTTTGATTTTTTAAAACTTGACTGAAATCGGAAATGAAAGACGCCCGCTTCGAGAGAAACCAATCCCCCACTTGCACTTGATCTTCAAGTGTATACGTTTTCTTTGACTCGGCACAGGACAGGATGAATGCATGTCGAAAGAGGAGGAGTTGTCGGAGAGCAGCCAAGAGCTGAGCACATCACTTGGATATGCCATTTACAGAGCAGCTTAGCTGCATTGCCAACAGTTGACGAGTTGCCTCAATTTGCGGCACCTTGCTTTGAAGAATAAGCGATTAAATGGCCGGACTTGGATTCTAAAGCAATAGTCCCCCCCTCTTGGATGGCAGTATAAAGGCTATGTGCTAAGGCACACTGAAATGAGAATGAATATAAGCTTTTAACACCTCTGGTAGTGGCACATCAATGAGCGGCCCGCCCACTAATCAGCTGCATGTGTGAATTTCTTTTTATGGCCCTCAAAAGCGCATGCAAATAGGTGAAAAGAGGAAAACGGGGAAAAATCTGTGATGGGGGAAGAACGGAAAGAAAATCACTGCACCCACTTGTGCACGAAATGTGTGCCACAGCCTCTGTTTTTTATGGGCTTTTAAAAACTTTAGTTTTCGAACGAAAAACAGCTGCCCGACATAAATAATACTATTCTGGTCTAAAAAAGACTCACCTTGCACAGTGCAACGCCCGTGTCCAGGCGATCCATGAAGTTATCCGCATTGATTCCCAATCCGGGATATAATGTGTTCATCCATTCGGCCAAATCCTCCTTCATGGCCTCCAAATACTCCTCGCTGGACTTAAAGGGCCTGTAGGGCCGCGCCTCAATGATGGCCATTGCGCCGTCTCGTGTGTCGCAGTGTTGGTAAACGTTAATTCGTTTTGCAGTTTCGTTATTAGTTAATTTCAGACTCCTAAATACTACAACAACAATATATTTCGGAACTAAACGTCTCTATGGGGTCTCAGCACAGCACTCTGCATTGCTTTTTGTCGGACGCTATTTAACTAGAAATAACTGAAATGGGAAAATGTTACTTTTAATCAACATATTGGTATACTTGTATAGTTTTAACATTAAGTACTTCCTTCTTAAATAGATTGCTTTCTTTCTAATGCAGAAATAAAGGCAAACAATGCTTTGATAAACCATAATATTTTTATGAAATTGAAGCGAACCCTAGCCCTAAAATTATATATAGTATATACTAATATTAAGCATGAGTTCATAATATATTTAAAGGGAGTAATATTTTTGTTTTTTATGTTAAAAACAAACCACTTGATGCTTAGTTCTCGTTCTTCGAATATCTTTGTTGTTAAAGTTCAAAACTGAAGCTCTCAGCATGATTCGATTGTAACCAAGCCTGGTATTTCTACGTTTTTTTTTTTTTTATAGTTCCCTAACACATACTTAGAAATGATCGGCTTGAACACTTTTTTGCTTGTTACGATGATATCGTAACCATATTTTTTCATTAATATAAATGGGGTTTTAAAGGTCCACTATATTCTAAAGTCAGATTAAATACGTTCGCTATATACTTATTTTGGTGCAATAATATATCTTTCGTTTACTGTGCAGATATGCATTGGCACTGAATTGATTTAAAGAATATGCCCCCATTTGGGGTAATTGGGCATGAAAGTGAGCGTTTTCCAGACGTAAAACATAAACCTTTATAGTTTTGTTTGCTAGATAGGTAGCCTTTAAAGATTATTATGGTTTTCTGTGCAGATGCTCATTGGCATTGGTGTTGCAGGCATAGAGCTTTGTAATGGTGTTAACTTTAATATACGAGTGTACACATATTTGCAATAAACTGATTGGCCGATGGGATATGGGAAAGGTGCTTTGTTTGCGCAGCAGTCGATGTAATATTGGACCGACTATTTGTCTGCCTGTCCGTCTGTCTGTCTGCCTGTCTGCATAGCTGTAGGTAGGCAGGAATACGAGTATGTAAGTATGTATATAAGTGTGTGTGTGGGGTACACATTAAAACACGGCGAAAATTTATGACTGTGGCAATGCAGCTGACATAATTATGGGATACAAAGCCACAATGGCAGCAGAAACAAGAAAAACAACGACAGCAACAACAACTGCACAAAAGTTATACAAATAAAATCAATAAATAAAACATAACAGTCACTCGCCGTAGTGGCAGTCGGTTACTTAAAAGCCTCCAGCAACAACACCAACTACAAGTACAATGTAACCTCATAAAGCTCTTGGGTGCTAGGTTGTCAGGTTAGTGCCACCAGAGAGTCTCCATCCAATGGCCAGCAGACACGCAGCTCTTTGTGCCGACTACGACTTGAGTACGACTATCACTAATTGGCGTTAAACTCAATTGAACGGCAAACTTATCAGTGTTTCCACAAGAAGGAGAAGAAGAAGGTAGAGGAGGAGGAGTCGTGCCGACGCCCTCATTAAACATATACTACAAGTATACCCGTGTGTAGTTAATGGACCCATCCCGTCCCATCCACATCCATCTGTGGCTGAATATGCCTTAAGAGCTTAATATCAAGCTGCAAAAAGTTGTTCCCCACACTTTTTACTTGTAAATCCAACCAACTACTAATAGGGCCAAGGCTATAAGGGTCATAAACAAAACAGTCTTGGCGAGCAATTACACAGATTTTTCGCACAGGCAGACAGACAATTTGTCAGAGCTAATCTACAGATAGCATCATCAGCACAACTCAATAACATCATCACGACACTTCGAGTGAGACGATATTTCGCGAATGAAGAGGAGCGATTTTACATTGTCAAAATTTGAAAACTTTCTTGTTCTAAGCATTTTAGAAAATATTTTTTAAAAAATCCCATTAATATGGTTGAAAATAATAAATGCTTTAGTGAGAAAAGACCGACTTAATGTCCAGCGTTTGTTAGTAACATATATTTCTGTCAGATCTGGAGTTGAATGTTCCTACTACAGCTGCAGACTGCTCGAACAGCTTATCAAAGGATTTCATAGAACTTATTAAGCACAACAATGACAATTCTTGCCACATGGGAGAGAACCCAAACACTACCCGCACAACCCAAACTCTCTGCTGCCTGTCCCACTAATTTGAAAAGCCGGGGCTCTGAACTTAGTGAGACAGAGATGATCCCTATGTAAAGCCTAGACACCCGCTTGACTACCAGACGTGGTCACTGGAATTGAAAACCTGTCTTAAGGATAAGGTCAAGTCATATCCTAGAGCACTACACTACCGACTATAACCTGTGGGAGGCCATCAAAAATCTTACTATGTAGCCCTAAACCTATTTTTCAATCTGCACCGCCTCTGGAGAATGGTGTCGCTTGGCAAAAGAGAGGAAAAAAACTGCTTAACCTCAAAGCAACTTGTCCAGCAGACACTTTTTCTTAGACAGACAGACAGACAGGGGGCTAAGTAATCTCAGCAGGAGTCCCTTAATCATCCTACTTACTGCCTATAGAGCGGATATGCCCAACCCATTCTCCACCAGCACTTCAGCCACTTTTAAGTTGCATTCTCTCTCATTTCAATTATCTGACAAATGTAATGGTGTTTGGATATTAACAACCATTATTCGATTATTCGATTCAGCCTTCAGAACGATATGCCGAAAGGTAATTTTCCATGTTTGAATATTTTTATGGACTTTCGTGACTTTCGATTTGGGCAAGTCTACAACAATTGAATGCAATATATTGAGCATTAATGAGCTGTGCATATTGCCTTCTCTTTGCAAAAATAATTGTTTTCATATTGAAAATAATATTGCAAAGATCGAAAAATAATGTAACATAATGTTGGCAACAATCAAATAAAAGGCTAATTTCGACAGACAGACAGACAGACAGATAGTCAGACAGTCGGACATGTAACCGTTCGTTAGTTTCTGGGCCATTTATGTAACTCGGCTCGATGACGAGGTCTTAATTAAGCGGCAATCCATCCACTATCCATCCACATGCTACTTACTTAACACACATTGGCGAATTAAAACAAGCAAACCAAATGAAACAAACAAACAAAACCAGCAGAGAAAACAGTCTCGGGTAATTTTTGCTCACTTCATGCACGCACACTCAGATAATATATATACACCGATATTAGGCAGATATACATATTATATGTTTGTAACTTAATTACTGCCATTGATGAGTGCTGACGAGGCAGACAGCGAACTAATTGTTCAACTTTTCTCCACCATGTTTCATTAGTTTTGCAACACAAGGCCCGATTTTTGAATCCGTAATAAGCGCAGATAAAGGTATCATGGAGTCATTGAGTTGAACTTACGACTCAGAAGCAGGCGTGGCAGACCCAACAATCATCATCATTTATCTAAGCGTTCGAAAGCATGAAAATTTGCAGAACTGGAGGTTTTGAAAATTGGGAATAAGTTTCCAATTGAAACCAAAAGCAAAGCACTGAAAAATGAATACGATCTTAAAGGACCCATCCAATTTTTGGATTGTTGGATTAACGCCTATTGTTTTGTGGCTTTTCGATTTTCTGTCTTATACCAAAAATCGATCGATTCACATCGAATGATCAAAGAAAATGCAATCGCTTGTGCGAAAATCGATAAATATTGCAAGATGTTGTATTTTGTGATTTTTGCACCAATATATTATAAAAGCTTTTCAAATACCACATACACTTGCAATATATTTGTTAACAAAACGTTTCTCGTACTAAAGTAGCTATATACTTGTATAATAATGATCTCTTGTAGACTTAGTAAGCATATCTGTAAGAAAAGTCTTGACGCCAAGTTTGGTGTTTTTAGCCATTATGGTTTAAAAGTGTTCAGTGTTCATACAGACGGACGGAGAATTGATCTTCTCATCATGTTGAAGATTTGTATACCTACGGAGTTTGGAATTTGCCATGTTCATAGATTCCCAAAGCAGGTTCGCAGGTTTCCCCCTGATTTACAAATCTATAGAAAGTATTGAAGAATTGTGTGGGAGGTTTATAGTTGGAATGGACTGTACGATTGGCGTATGCTTTGCATGACAAAGCTATAACCATACATAACTACATACATGCTATACATACATACTATACATTGCTGTAAGCGATCGGGCGATCAAAACAAACAAAAACAAATAAAACTTTGCATACTATTGTTTTTGTTTCTGCTTTGATAAATGATTAGCGGTATTTTTGAAAGTAAATTTAATTAAATATGTGAAAAGGATGCGCGCGCCTCACAAATAAGGCGTTGGCTTCGGCTTCGGCTTCAGCGGCGTATACGTAATTGAATTTTGGCTTTTTTGGTCATTTAAATGGGCAGCGACTTTCGAATTGTCGTCGAAGTCTAAGTCGCATATATAGCATGTAGTCTGTACATATTAGCAGCCATACACTTGGAGAAACGCAACTCACATACTTGTATTACACTGAAGGAAGAATTTGTGACATCATTAATCATAATCAGTGATTAATGTTTTAAGTCGTTTTCTATGACCTAAAATGTAAATATGGATCGTATTTGAATATATTTTTTGATGCAGAAATGTATTCTAGCTAGACTATTCTTAATAAGAGATAGACAATTTAATGTACAGATCTGACAAAACGAAAACTATCTCTAGAGACAGTCCCAAAAATACGATACTTATGCAAAAATTAAATGAGTTTTTAAAGATCGGTTTTAAAACAAACAAATGTTAATAGTTGTTCAATAATGAGTATGAAGCTTTTTATTTTCGGTTTTTTATTTATTTAAAAAGGAAAGTCTTGAAGAAATGGAAAAGTTGCATAATAATTCAAACTAATCATAAGAATGTTTTATAGAACCCGTGTCAGGGCTAGCATCTCTCCTAGCTTTTGTTTACAGTAACGGATATTGGATTAGGAACAGTTTTGTATACAATTTAGCGGAACCATCTTGCTCATCGCCTTCCATACAAACGATTGTACCTATTCAAAAATTTCCTGTCGCTCTTCATTTTACAAATCCAGTAGAAAAGCGTGAACTGGTCCCGAATTACAACTACATTTCGCCAATCGTTTAAG